GGGCATTGTTCTAATTTTCTGGAAGCTTGCTTAATTTTAATGAGTATTCAATTTAGTAATTTTTTATTAGTATGTTTAATTTAAAATTAGTCCTTGAATCTTTCTATATTTTTTTAGAAATTAGCTAGCCCTAAATTAATTTTTGCTTGATAACTTTATTTGGTACTTGGTATTAATTAATTTGGCCTTAGAATAAATCTTGTGTAATATGATTTCTTAGTATGCATGTTTCAACTTTATTTTCTTGGTTTTTTAATTGCTTGATTGGTTTAGGTTATTTTAGATTTAGGGCTTTATATTTTAGGTTTAAGCCTTGGATTAGGTTTAAGCCGGTTGCGACAGTAACTATTATAAACAACTATTGAAATATCCAAACAAGTTGTGAAAATTGACAACTCACTCGGCTTGAGCTACGAACTTTACTTGGATTAGATTGAATATATTTGTTTGAATTTGTGTTCAATTTTTTATGTAATTATTACAATGTTATGATATTAATTAGTTTAAATAATTCTCTCGTAAGATTTATAACATTATTTAATAAAAAAATAGATGTAAAATATTAATGAGAGTATTGATAATTCTTTTTTTGTAAAGATATATTATCTGCAGAGATAGAGTCGTTCTTTCTATGGGAGGGTTGTAAATGTTAAGCAAATAAGCCTTTTACCATTCAATTTTTTTATTTAAATATTTAATAGACTCTTGCTCATCTCGTTCTTTGATTCAAAGTCTCATTGACATGTATTAACATCGTTATATCTTTTTTTAATAGTCCGGTGTAATTACAATATAGTAATTGTTTATATTTTTTTCTTAGTCATTAGCAACTTACATATACCTTACAGGAGCGGCTCTAACTTGAGACTTCAAGAGAGAACACCTCCTCCTTTAACAACTGAAACCACTCAATATCTTTTTATGCCTTTTTAAATGATGTTTAAAAACTTTAATTTCGGTGTTTCTTTCTTGGTCTTACCGTGTTATATGTGTCTAAACACAATTAATATATAATCTAAGTTCATTGATCATTTGGTTATGTGGGCGTGTTAATATATAATCCGTTGTTGTGATTCTACAACCAACAAATTTCTATTTAAATCGGTGCCCACTTTCCAGCTGAATGTTGGTGTAATGCCATTTGTGATAGTGTTCATTATTTACCACCTTGCCCAAGTCAAAACAGAGTTTAATTTTAAAGAAAATTAGGTACTGATTTTAATTAGCCTCTTGGTCGTTGAATTAATATACGTTATTAAAAAATATTTTATAACGGATAATATATATAATTAATACATCAAATGTATAAATCACTCGTCTGTTGGTCTCGTATGCAGCTTTGAGCCTGACCTTCCCCTTATGGTCAAATGTTTATATATATTATAAGTACGTATAGATGGAGTAGATGAGATCGTAAGTAACATAGGACAAGAAACCGGCTGCTGCCTTTGACTATCAATAAAGAAGCCAAATAAATATTATTAAATTAACAAATTGGATTTGATTAGAATTCGGAATTTTAATTAATACGGATTTGGCACTTCGCCAACTTCTCTCAAGTCAATTTCATATTTCAACTCAATAACATTTATTATTATTCATTTCACTCGCCATTTTGTTATTCTTCTTCCACGTTTTCAAATAAAAATTATTTATTATAATTAGCGAGGTTTAATAATCAAAGGAGTTTCAATTCTGCGTCGTATTTTTTAATTAAATAAGTTTTTAACTAAAAGAAAGGAGGAGAATACTACTGATTATTGTATTCTTATTTATAAAAGAAAATAAATATTTTTAATGGTTCAAATAGTGGTGTGAGCTGTGATGGTACAAAAAGGAATGGGATTTAATTTTCATAAATATATGTAATAAGAAATTTAGAGGCAAGTGATAAGCATGTCTAAAATAAGAGGACTAAATAATCCGTATTTTTGGAACCATAAGTTTGGTGAGTCGAATATTCTTAAAATTTGCAACAGGACATAACTTTTGTGTTATGTTGTGTACTCTGCATGCTTTGTATTTATTATTATACACGTTTTTGTATTACAAAGATGTGAAGGGTCATTTGGCCTTTGATTCACTTAAAGGACGCTTTTTCCCTTACCAGGAATAAAATCACACAACTAAATCTCCCACTCCATGGATCCTCTTGAATGATTTAAAATAATAATATGAACTGATCTAATACACAATCAATTTTATTTTGGCTTAAAATCAAAATAAGTGTATAAATTATACTAAATTCTCGAATAGGTATCTAAATTATTTTTTGACTCATCACTGTACCTAACGTTACAAACGTTACCCATTTAGGTATTTAGGCCGTCAACGGCATTAAGTGACACGTTTCATAATCCGATAATTTTAAAAAAAATTAAAAAATAAAAATAAGTTATTTTCGAAAAAGCCACAAATTTTCAAAAATGTAAAAAAAACCTCAAACTCTTAAAATTTCTTATTCTAATCCCATTTACTCCAACCGTTAATCATCTTCGGCCACCCATTTGCCAAGGACCGACCATCCATACGTCGTCGACCACCCAATGATCGGTCACAACTCTTACTAACATCTCAAAACCCAAAATTCTCAAATCCCTAGATTTAAAATTATAATCCCTAAAATCCAAAATACTCAATCTTTTAAATTCGATCGTGATAATCGACTGTTTCAACGACCATGATAGTCGGCCATTTGGTCATTCGTTTAATCGGTCATTTGACCTTTGGTCATTTAGTCTTTGGTCATTGAAGGAGGGAGAAAGGGAGGGGAGCATGGGAAGGAAAAGGGGGAGCGCGGGGAAGAAAGGTTTTAGGTTTTTCTAATAATATTTTTATTTAAAAAAAAAGAAATAATTTTTTTAAAATTTCTAAGATCGTGACTTGTATCACATAACGGAATTTTATAACGACTGTTACGACTATAGTACCTAAGTGAGTAACGTTTATAAAGTTAGGCACCGAAATAAGTCAAAAAATAATTTAGGCATCTATTCAAAAATTTAGGTATAATTTAGTAACTTATTTTAGTATTAAATCTTTTATTTTCAATTAAGTTATGATAAATTTACTGATTATATATATTATATAATATGTATATAATTCATTATAAAGTTAAAAATCACGAGTCAACTCAATTGAGAAAAAATAACTTATCCTTTCTTATCAATAGTGATTAATATTATTAGGAGAGAATTCTTATATTTTTACATTTTTGTAAAATCACTAAATAAAAATTATAAATTAGATTCTCATGGTAAATCTTTATGAAATTTGATCTTAATTAGTTAATTAATATATTAGATATTGGTAGTTAATTCAAAAAAAAATTACAAATTATTGCTTAAATATCAAATATAAAATTAACAAAGTTTTATATATCTTTCTTCAATTCCCCTATAATCAAATGCTAGTAATTGTTAATAGTTTTTTAATAGTTTTATAAAACATGGTAATTCTGTTGATATAATTTAATATATAGTTAAAAAATCCTACTAAAAGTGTTAATATTTTTTTAATAGTTTTTGTAAAACATTATCTAAAATATTATTTTTACCAAAAATATTAATTTCGCTACTTAATTTTCGATAGAAAAATAATATTTTAGGTAATTCTTAATATTAATATTTTGATAGAAAAATAATATTTTAAATAATAATTTACTAAAAATATTAAAAAATATTAACATTTTAGATAATATATTTTCTTAATTATATTATTTAAACATCTCTTTCCTGGCTGTAACAATGAAAAGATAAGATCAACAAGTACAGAATATACTTGGACAATTAGATGGTAATTGGATACAAAGAATGGAGTGGGGCCCTCCCAATACTCCACAACCAGTCTTGCTTTCAATCCGAAACAAATCCGAACGTGGATTTGGAGTCAATGAGCATCGTCGGAGTTAGATTCTAGAATTTATTAAGACAACCAAATCAGATCGGATAACCCACCGGCACAGCCATGCAAAAAACCACCATAATTACGCCACTAATCCTTACCATAATGTTGTTCTGCTACTACAACCACAATAATTAAATTTCACTGATGGAGGGGGCTGCCTTTACAGCTGATTATTTATGCCATAACTAAATAGGGTCCATTCTACAACAACTCGACGTTCTCTGATAACTTCCTCACGAAGATAATTAGTTAGTTTTGATCTTATATTAAATATTGATCTTAACTATGTATTCTTCGTTATCTCTTCTCTTTGTCCCTATCCAAACCAAATGAGAGGTCCAAAATTTTTTATTTTTTCATTTTTTTAATATATTAAATTAAATTTCACTTTTTTTCTTAATAAGCAGAACAGTAAACCATGATGCCATCTTCTTATCTCACCATAAAATCACATCACGATGCATGTTAAACGTTAAGTTTGATGAATTCAAAGACACTTGAACCTTAATTTTTTTTAACAAGAGATGATAATTGTTTAGTTAATATTTGACATGAAAATGAAACCCTATATGACGTTTTTCAGTGACAAAAAACAATAGTGTTTTACGCTAAAATAGATTTGAATACCTAGTCCCTTATTTTCTTGAATTACAAGATTTGTCAGTCGGTCTACTTTCTTGTATTTCTTTTCGGTGGATCATTGTTATAGCGTTTTTCTGTTTGAAAAAGTTGTAGTGATAAATAAGATTCCTTCTTCACCAAGTTAAGCTGGTGCCCACAGCATAATGCTTTCCAACTACAAATTGACCTTCCTTTTTCCTACTTAACAAACACTGGGGGTTGTCTGCAACAATTTTGGATAAGATTTCTCCACTGGAACCATCCAGATTAAGCAGGCAATGAAATGAAAATCAATGATAGGGCATTGGAGTATAAGTTCCAAACATTCCAAATTTATTCGTTTCACAAGTATGGATTTATTCACTGTCTGTCACTATCCATGTTAACACTCAAAAACAACAGGAGATTAATGTAGCAAAAGAATTAAGGGGGGGGGGGAAACACAAGAAAGAAATCATGATTGTTGTCTCTATATATATCATATATAGAACTGCCTACCCAGTAGGTTTTTCTTACAAAAATTTGTACACCATATCCTCAATGTCATGAGACCTAAAGCGCTGGTGAATCAGTGGCAGTGTGGGTAGATGAAGACGTTGAAGGTGAACTTGAATGAACTCCCCCTTCCCTATGGCTACCCCTTTCTTCAGAATATGATGCTAGCGGTCTTTGCACCGTTGTTCCTAATGGTTGAGCAAGTGCGGGCAACGGAGTGGCTATCGGGGTGTAGATTGCACTGGTTGGCGTCACAGTGGCGGTTTTTGTCGATGTCGTCGTCGCTGTTGAAGTCATTGTGCCATATTCTGGTGGAGGGATCCATATGCCTCCGACTACCACTAACTGAGGTGCTTGCAGATTGGCGTTGCGTCGAACGGATTGACTCGGTCTCCTTGTGTGCAATCTGTATTTCTGAAACAGATAAAAACACATGAAATGAAAGGTTTAGGCTATGCAGGTTTAAGAAGTATAGTTCTACAGATAGATTAGAGATTATCCAACAATTTCATACCGAATTTACACCTAAAATCTATTGAAAACTAGATCAACATTGCCAAATATAGTGGAAACACACTGGTTTAATTGCAGTATTTTCCGAAAGATCATATCAATTTGCCAAAACAGAAGTACAAACCAAGCAAACTCAGTGATTAAAAAAGATAATTGTTATCTCTACAGATTTTGGGTTCAATCATGACTCTACAGGGTTGTTTATATAGTTATAGTGAAATGATTGAAAGTCTTTCTAAATAATCACCTGTAAATGGCTCTTAACTTCATCATTTGTAAGTCCATCAACCTTCATCAGCTCCCTAATCTGCTTTGGGGTGGCAACTGCAAAACAAAAACCATTTATAATCGTGGCCTCAACATAATCGAAACTAATTAAATTACAACGAAATAATGAAAACTCACCGTGTGAACCGCCGAGTTGCTGGAGAGCATGCAAGAAGCGCCGATGCAACTCCGGCGACCAACACCGTCTTGGCTTTCTCGAAGGCTGACCTTCCTTTTCATCTTTTTTACTAGAGTTTCCATTAGTGGCTTCTCCTCCACCACCTCTACTTCCACTTTCTGTTGTTGAAGTACTTGTAGCTGAGGCATTGTTTTTTGCTACCACAGATGATTGAACACTTCTTTCTGCAGTTTTCTCTCTCTGGAACGGTTGGAATGCTCCACCGTGTTTCTTCACTTCCACTGCGCTTCCATTATTACCAGCATCCTAGAAAAAGGAGAAAAAATCCCAAAAATTGTTAAATCTTTTTTTCCCTTTGGTTGGAGATGTATAAAAGTAAGAAAAGGGTACCTCATTCGAGGGTAGATCTGGGGATTGATTGTTGTTATTCCACAGCTGAACGGATCTAAGCCAATCGGATTTCCTCGTGTGATCAACGGCAGCAGGGACATTCTCTTCTTTTGATTTATGCGATTCTTGTTCATCGTATTCCTCGTAGCAATCAGAGCCTTTCTTAATCGGAATAAATTCTTCCAAAACCGGAACGTCACTAGTTGTCTGCTCCGAACAATCCGAATGCCCTTGCATGTAATCAGTCGTGGTCGAACCACCAGATATCTCTCTCTTGCATGTCTCAATGGCTATTAGAAAACCAAACAAATTTCAGCACCAAAAAAAACAATTGAAACGGAGAACAAAACAAATTAAAGACAAACCTTGGGTAACAAGCTCCAAACACAAAGGAAGTTCGCGTTGAAAGACTTGAATTTTACGTCGTTCTTCTTCTAAAGCTTCGACATATTCATGGCATCTGCGCATTTTTTGAGCGGAATCCATCTCTATCATTTGAAAAACAATAAAGTTTCAATCTTTTTCTCTTAAATTTTTTTCTTCTGGCTCGTTTTTCGACACCCAGGTTACAGAAACAGTGGGGAAGATGAATTTATGGGCGGATTTCAGACCAAATAGCATAGATAGATCCGAAGAAGGTGAGAGAGATGCAAAGATGAGCAGTTACGGAAAAGATAAACAAATAAAGGAAAGGGATCTAAACAGAATCAGGAAGAGAATAAACTTGGGTACCAAGAAAAAAAAACACATAACAAATCAAAGGCTTATATTTATGGATCACGACTCCAAAGGAAATTAAGCGATAAATTGGAACACAACAAGGGGGAAAACCAAAGTCGGGGCGTCGCGTAACAAAAACAAAATGAATCTTTCATTTTTTTTGGGGGGGGTTAGAGAGAGAGAGAGAGTCTGTAGTTAGTGATATATGAAGGGGGGAATAAGAGAGGGAAAGGAGGGAAGAGATAGAGAGAGTTGAATATTCCAATGCGTGATTCGGTTTTCGTCGTTTCTGGATAGGGCTGGCGATGACGTCACCTCTACTTCCCCAAACTTTACCCCTCCATTTTTTTTAGATCAGATCAGTGACTTGTCCTTCTTCTTTGGGATGAATATTTTTTAGTCCCTAAATTTGTAAATTTTCTAACTTTATCTATGATTTCTTGTTTATATTTATTCTTAAATTTATTTATTTCAGTCCTTCTGATAATATGAAATTCTAAGATTGTGTAATTGTATAGTACCATGGATAAGCATAATATAGGATCCACGTTTAAATTAAGGATAAATGTTCACATTATCTTGTCTATCTTAAAGGTTTTATTTATTTTATTAGTTATTTATTTTATTAATTGTATTTACTTTGAAATTTTTATATGTTTGTCCACATTATCAAGTGTTTAAAACTGCAAATTTAAAGATTAGCATGGATAAAAAGTTGAAGGACCAGACTAAAGGTTAATTTATACTTTTTGTAGGAGGGATAGGTGTGGTATACGAGTGGAATGGTTGCCACGTAGGCCAAATCATATTTATAGTGTGTTTGGTTGTCCTACTTGGTGATGGAATATCCGGTCGGCTTTTTGGGTTTGGGAGAAGTGAAAATGAATATATATATTTTATGCGAATATCCTTGGAATAGAAATAACAATGAAAATGGTGTTTGTTTTGGAAATGAGATTGGGTGTAAAGTATTTATGCGATGGTTGTGATATTTGGGGCTTTTCTACATAAATATCACCCTAAATATCTAATATTCCGTTTTAACACTCTTTTTTTAATATTTTTCAAACTAGCACCCATTCAGCTGATAGGAAGCGAAGGTGTGTTTACGGGGGGCGCCTTCGCGGGATTTGTTGATGTGGAAGGAAGGTGCGTTTCAAGGGGAGTGTCTTTTGGCTGTTGTGGCGCCACGTTGGAAAGAGCGTTTCAAGGGGGCGCCTTCCGAAAGCTATTTTGGGGGAACATACTTTTCATTTGGTTTTGAATTAGGGTTTTGATTTAGGGTTGAATATGATAGGGTTTAGGGCTATTAGAATTTGATAATTTATTAAGTAAAGGGTTTCGTTTATGATCTAAGAATTGTCAAAGGTATTTTTTAATTTTTTATTTAGGTTGGAATGATTTTAGGTTAAAGTGGTATAGAGTTCGTTAAAGTGAAAATGGAGAAGGATTTGTAGGTTAAAGTGATTTAGGGTTTTTAATGTGAAAGTGGTCAAGGGTTGTGTAGGTTAAAGTGGTTTAGGGTAAGGTTCGATTAAAATGAAAATGTCAATCATATGAAGTAAGAGGTAAGTGGGAAATTTATGTAGAAAATACACATACATTGGGAAATTGTAGAAAATACAATTACATTGAAATATTAGAAACAAAGACATACATTGAAATAGAAAATACAATTACATAAGTAAGGGTTAACAGTTAAGTGATAATAAAAGATTTGGACATTTTTTCCTATTGTGGCCGATGTTTCTGCAATGCCCATATCTTTTTGTTTTGTTGGCCTCTCTTGAATATCCATATCACAATGAATTCAAGGGGATTTTGGACGACCTGAGTCCCTCAATAGCAATGGATCTGATACAATTGTAAGCCAAGTTTGAATCTCATATGGGTATTTTTCGTTACCTATGGGGGAACTCAAATTCATATACCTTGAAAACTTGTGAAAGTTGGTATACAGGATCAACATAACTTTTGTAGCCCAAATGAGAATGTGAGCAAGCTGCTATGACATGAAAGCATGGATATTTGAGTGCTTGAAAGAAACCACAATTACACCACCTCTCTTGCAAATTAACTCTGAAAGAGTTAGCTTCAATCCCTTGAAGAGGACGTGGCATTTCAGTAACACGAAATAATTTATGGGTACGAGAAAAATTCATAACCAACATCCCATTTGATGATTTCACTTTTTCTGTAAATCAACTATTAGTCTTGGGTGATAAATATAGTCGTTCTGCATCCAAGTAAGAGCTTGTCCCCCGAGCTTTGCAAATAGTTGACCCAGACAAAAATAAGTCGTTTTGACCAACGCCGTAATTGGTAAATGAAGCGCCCCCTTTAAGGTTGAATTAATTGCTTCAGCCAAGTTGGTTGTCATATGACCATAGTGATACCCCCGTCATAAGCATTTGTCCACATTTCTTTGTTGATGTCCATAATGTATTCGCACCCCTTCTTATTTTTGCCAAACAATTCTTGTAGCATAGACTCAAACCTTTGAGGTAAGAGTTCGTAACCTAAGCCATAAGAAATATGTAATAGTTAATATGAAGTATAAATAAGTAATATTAAAAATGATTGAAAAAAATGGAAAAAAGTAACATACCATGCGTACAACTAACAAACGTTCATCATTCTCCTTGTATTTTCCAATATAGTTTGCATAAATATGACGGACACAATAACGATGTTGAACATGTGGGGTTTCCACATTGGACCAAAGAGTCCATTGTTGCTTTGATCCTGGCTCATCGGTCTGAAATGATGCATAAGTGTTCCATTGTCATAACATGTAAACGTAAATTTTTTAGGAAAAAAAAGCCCAAGACTCAATGTCTTCTCCTTCAACGAGGGCAAACGTAATAGGAAGAATATTGCGGTTATCATCTTGGACCACAACCAATAATAAAACTTGCTTGTATTTCCCATACAAGAAAGTTTCATTAATTTAGACAACTGGTTTACAATATTTCACTACATTAATACACTAAGGGTAAGTCCAAAATACACGGTAGAATTGGCATCGATCGCTAACCACTCTATCATTCACGTAATGATGTTGAGTTTTGAACTCAACAATTGTCCTAGGATTAAGTCTTTGCATAACTTGAAACCAACTGGGCAGCTCGTTGTAAGAGGAATCCATTCGCCATGAAGTTTGACAGTGACATTATGTTTTTCCGTCCAAGCTTTTTTGTAGGAGACAGTGTACATATATTGTGATTGTGTAGGAAAATCAACACTGCAACAGTTATATGAGAGTTTTGCTTAACAATGGGCATGATAGCGTGGCAAATAATATTCGAGTCCAACTTAGAATGGTCATGTTTGCTACCTCTTGCACAACATGTATGAGGATTGTTGTATCTTGTTAGTTCCCATAAGTTGTTCTTCCTCTTCCTCTTTGATACACAAATCATCCACTTACATTCGTTATCACATTGGACACAGTAGCAAACATATTTCTTCGTGATAGATCGATCAACTCGGGAGTGATATGAGTTACGAATATTGTAATTCTTAATTTCCATCATTGTTTCCTCTTTCAATGAGAACTCCATTCCACTATATAAGTCATCATCATTGACTAAAGTGAAATCTATAGTTGCAAACATTAGGGAATCTGAAAATTTAGGCCCGTACATTGCATCATAGTCAGCCTCATACATATGTGCAGGAAGTTCGATTAGTGATGTATTTATGGGAACTTCATCCGCATCATCATCATAATGTACTTTAAATTGTGATGAGTCAGGTTCAACGAATAATCTCATTTCAGTACCATCTACACCTGGCTCACGAAGAGTTTTTTTGTGGAGATAAGGGTTCCTCGGATAATCCAATGTTGAGGTCAAAGAAGTTGCCACTTGCATGTCCTCCCCTTGAACTTAAAGCCATTATACCATATGAGTTGTGAACAGACTGCTGTGTTGATTGTATTTCCATGTTCAAGTCGAAAATGGTGGCAGATGAATGTCTACCCCTTGAAGTAGAAGAGATGTTGTCATAAAGATTATTGGTGAAGCCACGTGAGTTGAGATTATAAGCAGTTGATGATGAATGCCTTCCTATTGAACTTGATGGAATAGCAGCTGGCGTTGGATTTGCCATTAATGATGTGAAATCATTACAGATCAGTTGAGTCAGGGTATTAACTTGATCAGCTTGATACGCCAAGACATAGTGATAGGAATATTACAGACCACGAAAAGTACGAACCTCAATAAAAGTGGTATACATTTCAATAAAAGATTTTCCATATGAGCATCAACCATCATAGTAATACCATCATCGTTGAAAAGCTAAAATGATGTATATGTGACTGGAAAAAGTTCAGTGGAAAATCTATACTGAAGTGAATATAGTTTTCTCATACCTGCAACACGAATTTTTAACAAAATTTTTGTGATTAACTCCTCAAGAATGATGTTTCTCTTCATGGTTAAGGAGATATAACGATCTGATTCAAAAACAACCCCCTCTTCATATTCTCGAATTTCTCCATCATAGTAAACAACAGCAGAAAGATGACTATTTTCAGAGAATATAGGTTTGAAAGTTTGAGAATTTTAGAGTATGAGAGATTGAAAGGTTGAGAGCAGTTGTGTGTTTTGAAATTTTAGAATATGTTGCATTTAATAATGTTCATATCCGTGGCACTATTCACGTGAAAGCACTTTTTTTGGGATGCGTCTTTCCTCTTTGTCAGAAAATAGGTTATAATTACCCTACAATGTGTGATGTCCCCGAACGGGGCACTATTCACGTCAACACCTATTATGTTTGATGGGACGCGACAATGTGTCATGCAAGAGATTCTCTTAAAATGCAGAAAGCACTTCTTGTGGGATGTATCTTCCCTTTTTGTCAAAGATTATCTGTAATTTATCAGGTTATAATTGCCCTATTTATTGTCCCCCAGTGGTGCACTATTCACGTCAACACCTATTATGTTTGATGGGACGCAACAATGTAGTGAAAGCGTTTTTTGTGGGATACACCTTTCCTTTTTGTCAGAGAATAGGTTATAATTTCCCTATTATGTGTGATGTCCCCCGGCGAGGCACTATTCACGTCAACACCTATTATGTTTGATGGGATTAGAAGCTGTTGAAAACACTTTGATATTTTGATATACCAAAAATTGTTTGAAAAGTTTGTACAAATTTTAAGCTTATATTTGATTTAGTCATTCAAATATAAATCAGTCATTTGAATATATTAATTATTCTTTCGAATATATTAATTATTATTTAAAAGTTAAAAGTGAAATTTACTCCTCATTGTACTGCAAAATTGAGTCTTATTGTGGAAATATTTTTGAAATAATTTTTAGAAAGCAATGTAATTTAAGTTTCAATTGTAATATCACTTTCATTTGTGAACTTTAATTGGAATATGAAATTGACTTTGAATTTTGAATACAATTTTAAATTTTAATTAGAATATTAAGTTGAATTTGAATTTTCATTTTAAAAACATTTAACAAACATTAATCATTTAAAAAATATTACATAATCTAAACATTTCAAGTTAAATTTGAATTTGAATTTTAAAAACATTTAACAAACATTAAGCATTTAAAAAATTATAAAATTACATAAAAATTTGAAATACAACTATTAATATTATCTTTCAATGGATCAACGATGTCGTCTTCTCGAATGAATTACACATGGTGGTGGTTGTCTATTTCGCTGAGGACTTCTTCATATATCTTCCTCTTCATTCTCCTCATCTTCACTATCATTATCATCATCGACATTTTGTTCATTTGACATGGATAACGATGAAGAGTCTGTATAAAATAACAACCCTGGAGGAGTATTACTAACTATCCCACCGCTCACAGAAAATTGTGAAAATATTGACATTGAAGTTTGTGATCTATATAGAGGTGGAGGTGTTTGTGGAGGAGGAGAACCACCAGTAAAATCTTGCGGGCTAAGAATGTAACCTTGTGGGCTGGGTATTTACCCATGTGGGCTAGGAATGTAAGCCTGCGGTGGTGGCATATGAATTGTTGGGCTGGGCATATACCCATGCAGATGTTACATCTAAACTGGTGGGATGAGTATGCACCCTATGGGCTGATAATCGGTGGAGATGATGTGATGGTTCTGATGGTACGACTGATGTCGAACCGATAACGGGTGCTCTTTGTCCATGAGTCGGGAGACGATGATATTATAACAGTAGACGTCTATTTCGGCGGCTATAAATTCTCACCCCTTGTACTTCATCCAAAAGTATGAATGGCTTCCCGTTTTCATTGAACCACTGTAGATAGTAATCCATAACCATCTGACCAGTTTCAGCGTAAAACTGTCGAGGGGGCAAGTGTTGATATTGGTTCTCCCAAATCGCAATATAGTCTCTATGCTTCACCACCCAGTTGACATCTTATTTTCCTTGTCTGTCTATGTTATGGATATTGTCTAAATTAATAGGTGCTTCAGGAATATATTAAGTACAACAAAACTAACGGAGCACACGATCAATCGGATGCCACTCAACAATAGCATAACATATCAGAGGCACAACTGACATCCAAACATCTAATGGCCCACTCAAGTGGGGTGGGATGCAATCCTTTATTTCATCGCGCGCATAAGGTATCCACTGAAACTGAAAATAAATATATAATTTTTATCAATATAATATTCTAATTATATCAAGCATTTTAAATTAATTTCTTCATATTTAAAGACATACCTCAGACCCAACTTTTTGATCAATAATTAAATGGATATCATGTAGTTCAGGATATCTCTATGATTCTTTCTTCTCATCGACCACCTATTTAATATAATATAAACATTATGCCATTATTTAATTAAAAATATTTAAATCAAAATTTAGTTTTGAAATTACCTTAATAATAACGGGAATACATATGACTCATTAACGATCGGGCATAAGAAAGGCATGCGGAACCACCCATGATTGGAGAAACATGAGACATCCACCGATAGTAGTTTTACTATAATTCGTTGCACGACGCATTTCTCTAAAGAGAAATGCCAAAATACGGAGCCCCAACTGTATCTTTGCTTCATCAAAATCAATAAGATGACGCAACCACATATAATGCACCTGATTGCGATATTTGTCGGGCATCAATATTCCTCCAATGATTCGTAGTATATATTCCAGAGCACATGCCTTTTCTTCATCACCAGAAGCATTTTCATTCAAATCTTCAAAATTGGCTTTTAGCCATGATAAAGATATCTTGCCTTCATTGAAATCTGGCGGAGAAGCTCCAAGATACTCCATGCATAGTGAATGTCAATCGCCATCGACCACACCGCACATAACATTTCCATCAACGGGGACCCCCAAATGCATTAAGACATCCTCCAGTGTAATTGTACACTCTCCAAATGGAAGATGAAATGTGTGTGTCTCCGGTCTCCACCTCTCAATTAATGTGAAAATTAGGGTGGTTCAATTTTGCAACCGCCAACAACTTTCGCAATATACCCGAACTCGGCTGTAGACAAATACTGCAAAATACTTGTTGGTATCGATATCTTCGTATTTTGAATAAATGTTTCCAAAATACGATCATTTTCCTAATTAATAAACATTCCAAAAAATTAAAATTAATATAAATGCATGAAAATTTTTAAATTAAAATATTAAACATTTACATAAATTTCAAAAAAAAATATTGTCATATCACTCAAATGTCTTGAGATATGATTTGCATTCAATCGCAGTAGCTTCTTTCTTTTCATTATAACTGTAGGCAAACAAATATAATTAGCACAAATAATTAATTAATAAATTTAAATATATAATGATTATATAAATATTATTTTAATAAAAATATAACATTATTTTTAAATAATTTTTTATAAAAAGAATATAACAACTTTTTAAAGAAAATATACTAATTTAAAAATAAATTTCTTACCAACTATTAAGAAATTTTTAACTCAAATAAGAGAGTGATTTGAGTTATATTTGAGAGAAACAATGATTTGGTGTGAAGAATAAGGGGGTTAAAGGGGTTTATAATGAGGAGGAGTTTAGGTGGAAAAACGGGTGGGAATTAATTGCCCTATTAATGGAAGGCGTGCCCCCGAAAACGAGCATTCCGACGTAACACCAGAATCCCACGAAGATGCCCCCTGTAAAGTGTCTTCTCCCGCGTGGCAGCCCAGTCAGTAGAAACCCATAGAAGCCTTTGTTCAAACATTCCAACGTGTATTGATGTCATGGCTGGTAATTTATTTAGCTCTTTAGGGGAAGTGATCTGGTGTTGGGTCTCCACCATCCCCTCACCCTGAGCTAGCATGTGGAGCTACCATGGTGTAAGCGACCTTCTCTTAGGTTAATGAGGAACATAGGTGTGCGGGCATTGGGACCAAGTACATGGTACGATGTCTCTCTAAGATGATACCTAAGGACAGTTTAGGGCCAGTAGGCCCCATATCACTGACACGTCTCTGAATAGTCTTCCGCCTTGTCAGCAAAAATCACATTAAAGCGCGCTCCCGGGAACGCACCTTCCTTCCACATCAGCCGATTGGGTGTTAGTATGGGAAATATTAAAAAAAAGGTGTTACATCGAGAATATTAAAAAAAATTGAGTGATATTTAAGTAGAAAAGCCGATATTTGGGGGTATAACACTTGGCTAAGTCGTTGGTATGAGATGAACACGTATCCGTCTTAAAATTTAATTTTTTAATAACTATTTATTTATTAATTATGTCAATCTAAAGATTTATTTATGTTCATCTTTTATATATAATTTTTGTATTTTAATTTATCTTTAAAATATTCTAAATTCGTCTTTGGCATTCTCATGATTGTTTTTTTTTTATGTTTTTTTTTCCTTCTTGGGGATAAGTCTAATCATCGTAAAGCGGTATTGGGTGATATTATAATGGCCTTTGAGGGTGAGGAAGGGCCATTTTGGTAGGCTAAATTATATCAATGACCCTCTCCGTGTTTCGTTGCTGGCAGTAGACGGCCCCCCGTCTTATGTTGTTTTCCAACCTGCTACTTTCACAGCTAAGCAACTGGTAATAAGACTTGGAGCCTTATAGGATGATTACTAAACATAACATTATTCAAATTAAATACTATTTGTAGGGATGAACACAGAGCGGAGCGGTCCGACTTTTTGCGGCTCCGACTTCGATTCGAAAATATATATCTAAAATTTGACTTCATCCCGTTCCAGTGAATTTTAGGTTTTTTTCGCTTGAATCTGCTTTGATCTCTATACTAAAACCCGATCCTAACCCAATTCGATTTGAATATATTAATATTTTAAAATAATTAAAATAATATATTTTACAATAATTTATTTATAATTATTACTATATTTTATATGATTGAATTAATATATTTTATAATATTTTTTATATTTTAAATAATCAAATAATATATTTTAATAATATATAAATATATATATATATATATATATATATTTAATCTGATCGAGCCTGGTCAGTGATTTTTCACCTTAAAATCGACCCCGTCCTACCTTGAAATTTTATACTATATAACCCGGCCCATCACGTCTCGAGCCCCAAAATTTAAAAAAAACCCGCACTATACGGTTGGGACCAGCCAAGTTCGAGTATTTTGATCATCTCTAACTATTTGAAATATTATTGAAAATATTATATTATTTATTTATTTTTTAGTATGAATATAAAATTACAATATTTGGTTGAAAATATTAGTAAATAAAACTCAATTCGATTGAAAAATTGATCCTTTCAACTCAACTTGAGTTAAAAATACGACTCAAATTGATTTGACTCATAATTTTTAAACCGACTCTAATAAAATCAAATTTGTATTGAGTTATAAAATAAAACTTGAATATTGATTTTTAAGTTTAGTCGAAACTCTTAATTTTATATGATATATGTATATCACATTAAAAAAATATCTATACATTGTATATTGATTAAAAAAATTATTTAAATTTAAATAGAATAATATCATATCATTATAAATATTTATACCGTTGCGGATGCACTCATTAAAGCTGGATGCTCCTTTGCAGAAGGTACAGTCATACATGAAGCTCCTCCCTCCTCGCTCGTTGACCTAGTTCGAGATCTACCTTGAGGGTTTAATGTAACTTGTTCATTACCAATTCAAAAGAAAAAATTAAATTAACGTCTCATAAATATTGAATAAAAATATTTAAAAAATCTTACCATAAAAATACAACTGAAATTTAAAAAAATATTAAATAAAACCCATTGTTTAATTTATGTTATTAGGGTTATAATTGTTTAATGTTGGTTGGTTTATGTTTTTTTTTTTCATGAATATATTTATATGTACGCTAATTTTATCTCCGGTACCTATACTCTTCAGAATTTTAAAATATAATCCCTCTTCTTTTAACCATACTTTACTTTTTAAATTATTTAAACTAAACAAAAATTCATTTGATATTATTATCAATCTGATTATAGTTTTTGAATCGGATAATTAATTTGATTCTTAATGCAAAAAAACGACTAATTTTATTTTAAAAATATTAAAATTACAATGAAAATTTACATCAATAAGTGAAAACTAATTAAATACAACATTAGAATATTTTTTATAATCATTGATCCGAAACTAGACATTTAAGATCATATAAGGACTACACAAGGAAAATGTTAAAAACCTATAAAAAATTTGAACAAAATAAAGATACAAATAGATCTGACTCCATCGATTAATGAACCACAATAGGAGATCAAAATATAAAAGATTACCGACAATCGCGAATAAAAGTCGAATGTCATGAGAAAACTATCTCTGAATGCAAACCGCATACCCAAAATCATCCGAGGGTCAAAAGCAGGACAAATCGGCTTAATAACAAATAAGTATTATTTTGATCATTCGACACAATGTCAAATTCAACTCTAAAAAATTAAATGATGCGATGGACAAAACAATGATAAAAAAGAGAGCAAAACGTGCCGTAAATGCAAAAATAAAATACATCACCAAGATAGAATTTTATAAATTAAAAAATCTAAATATATGATATAAAAGAATAAAAATAATAATAAATACCACATTAAACAATCAACATCAAGATTGGTGGTACCATAAAAAACAAAGGCGCTAAGCGTGAAGGGAGAAAAAAGAGAGAGAGAAAGTAGGGTAAATTTCTTTGTTAGACTTTAATTGGTATTCATGGGTTGCGAAATAATGATTTGGATAACAAGATTGAAATCAAAAAGCAGAGTCCTAAATATGAAACATTTGAAGATTACATGGACTGAATTAGAATTAAACCCGAGATATTTTTATAGTAATAAAAGTGGGGTCAGATTGTACGACGGGGGTGAACTAGATCCCCCCACTGTCCTATCGCGAATCGGAGATTATGGATAGAGCTCTCCTTGCGTGGATAAGTTTTCTTACCACAGTTGACTTTCACTCTTGTAAAATCGTCTAGAGGGGATATTTCTTTTTAATAGTAAAGATGACTAATTTTCTAATTTATCAATAATATAAATATATTTTATAGAGTTAATTGTTCAATTTTAACTTTTAATAATAATAATATATTTTTTAATATAAAATCATTTAACGAGTTCAGAGATTTTATTTTAAAATAATATTTATCAGTTGATAATTGTTTACCAATGTGTCATTAATTAAAATTATAGTATTAAATTTGTCTACAATGTAATTCCTCTCTTTCTGCCTTAACTTTTCATATATATACATTTCTTTTAAGCAAAATTTTTGCCTAGTAACCCTAGTTAATACTGATAAGTTTCCTTGGAAGAAGCCTAACCTAAAACTTGAAGGATTCAGTCAGTCTTTACCAATTCCGTATGGATTCTCCATTTATATTTTTATTTAATAATATGAGATGAATATAAGAAAGTATTCATTTAAAATTTTAAATTATTTAATAATGTTCGCTCATAATCGATATAAATAGTATTCAAATCTAATATCTTAATGGATAATAACTTCATTCATGCAACTCTTTATTTATATTTTCTTCTTATTAATCTAATATTATTATAAATAATAATATATATTTTAAATACTCTTTATTTATAATTACTTGGCTAGAAAATGATATAAATAATGGTCTAACTTTTAAGAGCTTTCCTTTTTCTATTTACTTTAAAACGATTTAATTAAAGCAGTCAAACTATTTAAGTGTAAATGAGTCAACAAAGAAATTCCATCACACATGTATTCGTATTGGCTGCCAAAATAATCTACTATTGTAATATAATCAGGGATGGGAGGAAAAGGATGGAGAATAGCCATTGTTATTTTTTAATTTTAAATTATCATATATTTTAAATATTTATTTATTATTTTTATTGATAATTTAATTTTTATTTCTAAAATTTTATAAATCTTTTATTTTAAAATTCAAAAATGTACACATAACATAAAATTATATGCTCATCTTGAGCACATCATTGGGTATAACGTACAGCAAGTCTTTATAAACATACAGACTGTTCAAACATTAACCTAACAAATCCGAAACATAAATATTACAATTAAAACAATTGACATTACAACACATAATTCAACAATAATGCTCTGGAAAACCGGTAAACCTCTCTTACGGTAATCAAAATGAACATGTCTTAAGTCAGAGTGGAAGCAGATAGCTTGAAAGTTATTTGGATGCTACAGGGAAAAACTTAGAGAGGTTCAATCTTTACTCTTTTAGATCGAGTTAATGATTTATTAAATCGGGAATGTAATGTTACTTTGAGACATATAAATCGAGATACGAATAAGGTGACCGATAAAATGGCAAGGATAGCTACAACAAGAAGCGATGTTCATAGTGTCTTCTACAATTCACAGCTGGAAGTAACTATTTTACTACAAAAGGATTCTGCTGCTTGCAATTTGGAAGTAAAG